ATCCTTTTCTATCTTGTATAAAAAAAACAAAACGAAACAGATGTCATTGAGTTTCTCCATACTGAAAAAAAAATACCTATTTGCAGTTTATCGACGATTGTCGAACGATTACAAGGATCAAAACATTGAGTATAGTTAGGTGATAGATGATGCACTTCAGTAGTGATGATAGCGATGTATATGACAAGCCATGTTTATAAGCGTAGATATGATTCTTGCAAGCGAAAGTTCATAGGCATTGATGGTTATTATGTGCAAAAAATAATGCTTTATAGCTAAACATTTGATTTATTCGGCGTAAATTTTTATTGCTGTATATCCGTTGAAATAAATCTCCAACATTCAGAATTTATTTTGGAAAGGCTTCATAGTTGGGGCTATAATTTTTCAGTATCCTACGTATATATATATATATATATATATATATATATATATATATATATATACACAAAATATCCGTTGCTTTTAATAATAATAATAATAATAATATACACACATATACAGACATACAAGGGAGAGAGAGAGAGAGAGAGAGAGAGACAAGGAGAGAGAGAGAGAGAGAGAGAGATTAGTAAACATGTATACATACACGCACCGACAGAGATATGGGATGCCTAAGGTAAGAGAAAAAAAAGTGACAAATGGACACGGATTTCCGCTTAAGATCTGGGGTGGGGCGGAAAAATTGAAACACTGGCAGAACAATCAAGGCCAACCGCCCAGATATTGTTATTAAAGACCACAAACAAAAACGGTGCCTCCTTATTGATATGGCAGTCCCTGCTGACTGCAATGTATCTTTGAAGATATTCAAAAAGTTGTCAAAATACAAGGACCTTGAAATAGAAATCTCGAAAATTGGCATATGGGAACATCAACAATCCCTGTTGTAGTTGGAGCCCTAGGACTGGTTGGATTGCAGTAGACTAATTGAAGGGATTCCTGGAAGTCCATGCCTCAAGGAGATACAAAAAATTGTTCTGACAAGTACAGCCCACACTTTACGAAGGGCTTTATCTATGTATTTTTTTTTTTTGGTCAGTGGAAAGTGTCATGACGCCATTTCTAACCTTAGGTCCCTGAGCGGGACCCGAAAAGAAATGTGCAAACGCCAGAAATCAAAGAAAATAATAATAATAATAATAATAATAATAATAATATAATAATAATAATAATAATTATATAATAATAAATGTTTAATGACGTAAAAAGAATATTAACGGTTTAAATAAAATCTTCAGTATCACAAGACTCGCAAGCCATTAGAGTCGCACGGGTACCACATGTACTGTCACAGTAATAGTGGTGTCTCCAGGGGGGGTTTAAATTCAGAGATTTTTTTCTCCTAGACCGGTTGCCGCCAAGACTATAAGAACCAGTCTATTCTGCTATTTATCCATAGCTGGTCGTGGGGAGAGAAGAGATGGAGTCTTACCTTTCCAAAGGCTATTAGCACATACGCGAATGTAATGAATTCGATTCCTCAATATGAGCCGTTATCAATTACTCCACGGTGTATCCTTAAATCTGAAATGCATACATCTGCAAAAAGAAAAACATTCAAGTAATGGTATATCAAAAATTGACATATATATATATATATATATATATATATATATATATATGTGTGTGTGTGTGTGTGTGTGCGTGTGTGTGTGTGTGTGTGCGATATACAAATCTTTATATCAGAATTGTGGGTGGTAAGTGACTGACAAAATGGAAAACTTCGAAGCGAAACTTTTCTTGGCGTTATTGTTATTTTGAAGAAATTCCTTATCGTATTGAAACATATTACTTGTGGAATGTCCCCATGTTTTCATTCACTCTATCTCTGTCTTCCATCCCCCCTCTCTCTCACTCTCTTTCACACACACACAAGTATGTATTTTTGTCCAAAACGTAATAAATAAAAATATCCACTATGATTTTACCAGCGGAACGTCAGGCTGTAAAAGTTCAACACATTATTTTCCTTCGTTTTATTTTCCTTCACATTTGAATAGAGATTGTCTGCTACGTATGCGAAACAGATTTTTTATACTAACAAAATTAAACTTTCTCCTCCTGGAAACCTATGTTTGAATTGAACATTCAAACATATTTTTCCACTGAAAAAACGATTATAGTAATATTAATAACATTTTATTAAAATTTGGAAATCACTGCGTATATATTTCGCGTTCTCGTCCGGTAGGTTCCATTGAAGAGTATAGTAGTTTCCATAGCAAGTAAGGCTTTATGGGATTAAGTTGCCAATTCCATGGCCAATTCGTTTTGTATCTAGATCTTGCTTACCTTAGCCGGTGTGGCCAAGCAGTCCCGCATGTATGTACTGATCGGGTTTACTGTTTCAGCGTGAATTCTATTTTGCGTACAAAACTACAAACAACTGATTTGGATGTTGAAAGTATCAACGAGAGATTTGATTTTACACAAACGATCATTGAGACTTGATTTAATGTAATGTAAAGACCTCCGTGATCGAACGCGTGGCTAAAATATATTTTCCCAGCATATGCAAGTTTCCTGCCACGAAGATCATTTCTTTAATAAAACATTATATTTTCTATAGTAGAGAACGTTAATTTCTCTGTTAAAAAAAAGACATCTCTACACAAACACGTGTATCCGCTAAAATGTGTCTATAGCAAAAAAAAGAAAGATCGTTTTTTTTTTCATAAA